GGCTGCCGCGTTTCGCCCACAAAATACAGTCAATTCACTTGACACATATTCTGTGAAGCGCTTTGAGACTTCTCAACAATGTGATAAGGCGCTATATCAAATGCAAGGATTATTATTATTTTTAATAATGTGATTTTAAATAGGGATGTTTATGCCGATTGCCAGGCCCTCAGCTGATGAACTGGTTCAGATTCGCTAACAAGAGAAACCTTGACCTACAACTTTCCAACTTTGTAATGCTTTGTTTCACTCTTGGGAATGTATTTACCAACTGCGTCAATGAGAACTAGTTTTATTATCAGTCCTACTACAATAAACAATAAAGGGAAAAAAATCGAAACAATCGTTAACACTGCACTGATCTCCTCAGATGGCATCACTAAATATACCGAGAAAGCCTTGTGCTATAATAAAATCCTTTCATTAGTCTGCTCATTAAGAATTTAATGGTTGTTGCTGATAGGAAAGCGGATCAGAATTCTCTATTCAGTTCATTGGCACTTCCCCCTTTTAAAAATGGTGTAGTGAATGCAGCCTACGTAACAAAACTGAACAAAAGCATGCAATGACACCTTTTTGTGGTTTCGCCCACAAAATATACAATCAATTCACTTCACAATATTTTCTAAGCAGCGCTTTGAGATGTCTCAACATCTGATAAGGCGCTGTATCAAATGCAAGGATTATTATTAATAATAGTACCATGCATAACATCACAACTAGTAAGCACGGTCTATTTTCATTTTTCAAATCGGAAGTTGTTTCCCATTCATTTCTGACTAATTTTGAAAAAAAGACTTAAATGCTGTGTTTTGCACATCAGAAACTACTTGTTTCATTGGTCTAATTTCAGAAAGATCATCAATTCTGCTTCGGTGGTTTCCTTTCTTTCTCGCATCTCATTTTCTTTCCTGCCTCTTCTTCTAAAAAGTCTCGCCTCTCCCTGGTGACCAATTTCCACATGTGAACCAGAATAAGTAACGACAGGCTGAGCCATAGAGCTGTCCCCCTAACATTTACATATGTGCACTTTGGGAGAAATAAATGCATAGCAAATAAGGAGCAGAAACTATGGCTAATTGTTTTCCCTGTGCATACTAACACCAAATTAAACCTGGGTCAATTTTACCTCATGTTGGCAATTTCCTTCCACCAAATTCAAGCTCAGCTGATTTTAAAGTTTAACAGGTAGTTGCTTCCTAACAAACTCTTAACTATGTGTTGGATTACAATTATAATTGTATAAAAATGGATTGCTGTAAAATATTGATCCAAACAGTCCTCTGGCAAATGTTTGTAACCACAGTTCATTTAATCTTTGTTCGGGAAATCAAACTTAAAAAACCAAATGTTAACCCAAGATCGATGAAACTTCTAAACAGTGCTGTCATCTCTGTATCAAACACAGCAGTAGATTTATTGAATTAAGTGAAGTGTGCATTACAAACCAGATAATTTATATTTAAGGTTAGGATGTTTAAATGTAAATGTTATGCAGGAATTCCATACAATGTAAGTGAATGGGAGGGGGTGGTTGACTGCTTGAGTCCTGTACAAAGGAATGAATGAAAAGTAGCTTGATGATTCATTGACATTAAAAACAGGAATGAATAAGAAATGAGTTTCTCAGTTGGATTGCTAAAACCACATAACTGTCTGAGATATCTTTACCGTTGAAAGTCAGAATATTTGGACAACTATTTATAATTCAGCCCACAAGCTTGATGGAGAATGGATGGAGGGATACCAGTCTCTGTATCAAAACACTTCACATCGGATTACGTTGAGAGAGATTAAATTTGCCAGTGCTTCTAAAGCAAGCCATCTGGTTTCTCTACCACATAACAATGGATCACATCAGAAAGTATTCAGGTCCATTGAGCCCACTCCTTCCACGAGCAGACAATAACGAGTCTATCGTGGAACGTGATCTGCCAATTCGATCTAGAAGGTGGGTTGGTAAAGTGCTTCCCTACATAACATTCACTTAATTTCCAATCAATTTGGTACAGTAAAGCACATGAGACATTCTTTAATGTCAAAGGCACTAAAACCAAATACCAGTTGTGGCATTGTTTATTCGAGAAAAAATGTTCAACATTAGTCATTGTAATCTTTTTAAAAAAAGTATTGCACTTTTACAATGAAAAAACTCAAAATTCACGTGCAAATAAAATTGGTGTTATCATACGTTTGAGACCTATATGTTTACAAAATGCAGGCATTAAAGTACAGCTATTCCTGGATAATGTCACCTACAAACAACATAGTCACTGCCCATTATAGCAAATTTTGTGAAGCACCATGAGATGTCCTCCCAGTGTAATAGACTATTCCAACAAATAGTATCCCATTTCATAGTAATTCCTTCCGAGAAGTGATAAGGTGCTATATCAATTGCCAGGATTCTTATTTTATTCATTTTAATTATTATTTATTAATTTAAATAAAAGGTTGACTTGCAGTGATGGGAGTGTGGGATAGACGGTAGGGTTGGCGAAACGTTGGGCAAGTTTCCTTACTCCACACACCTCTGTTTATCTAACAGTAAAGTAGGAAGCGGTTGTTAGTCGATTGGTGGATTGCTTTTTCGGGGGGAATAATTCCTTCAAAAAAAATTTGGTCACTCAATCTACGATTGCTTGTGGGGACACTGCTGTGTGCAATTCGCTGCCACATTTCGCCCCCAAAGTATAGTCAATTTGTTTTACAGTATATGCTGTGAAGCGCTTTGAGACGTCTTGTAGACGTGATAAGGCTCTATATCAAATGCAAGGATTATTATTATTACAATAGGGTTACTGCTCTGCAGAGATGGGCTTCATGGGCGTTTCCTCCTGATGTCCTGGCCAACAATTCCCTGTGAAACAATGGTCATTCTTCGGTGAGGACAATTTGTGAGCCATTGCTGCCTACAGTAGGCTGCCGCATTTTGCCAAGAAAATACAGTCACTCCGCTTTATACAGTCTATCCTGTGAAGCGCTTTGAGACGCCTCAAAGACGTGACGAGGCGCTGTATCAAGCAGAAGGATTATTGTTACCTTAGAGGAACGAATGGGGTGGAATTACAATGACCATCGCAATATAGATGTACTGTTATATTATGAGCGGTGCCGTCCTGTGCGGTCCTGTAGCTCAGTGGTTGGAGCACTCACTTTGCAAGCGCGAGGACCTGGGTTCCATTCCCGGGCCGGGCGAATCCTTGGGAAAAAGTTTCCTTACTCCGCACACAGCCTGATAATAATCCCTCGAGAGAGAGAGAGAGAGAAAAAAAGAAAACGATAACAAAATCCGGTCACTTTCAATCGCCGCGCCCCCCGCGAGCGCAAATCGGCTCACGCCGCGGCCTCAATTGCCCGTGAAGCGCTTCTCCTTTCTTTTCAACCGCGCCTTCGGTCACCTCCCCCCCCCCCACCCCCGCGCGCCCCCACCCCAACCCCACCACCCGCTCCCCTCCCCCCCCCACCGCCGGCTCGGTCCCGGGATCCGTTACCGCAAGGCGCTCCGAGAGGGCGGTCGGGAGGGCGTTATATGAATCCAAGTTGTTTGTTGTTGTTGTGGTTGGAGGCTGCCGTCTCGAAGACGTGACGACGACGATGGGGAGGTGGGAGGCGCTGTATGGAAACCCAGGGCAGCGACGATGAAAGGGTGGCTCAGCTATTAGGTGCATTACGGTACAAGGCGATGAGGATGGAAGGGGGTGAGAGACGGAGGGAGGCCCTCGTCTTGTTGGCTTTACGGTAGAGGTACCTGGATGACGTCAGCGCGGAGGCGCGCGGCGCCGGGCGGCCGAGAGAGAGAGAGAGAGAGAGAGCGCGCGCGCGAGCGAGAGAGAGAGAGAGAGTCGGCGTCAGGGCGACCCGCGTAGACACCGTCAACAACCGGTAACAAACAACACACACACACACACACACACCGACCACAAACCCTCACAGGGACGCGTCCGTAGAGAGAGGCTATAGCGGGTGGTGGTGGTGGTGGAGGAGGAGGGGAAACGAGAGGGAAAATAAAGTGGAGTCCAAAGATCTGGGACTCCGGGCAGCCGTCGCTCGGGCCGCTGCTTTTGTGTCTCCGGCCGTGGGTCGGGGCGGCTCGAGCGCGGGGGGTGACACACACACACACAGAGGGAGTGAGAGAGAGAGTGAGAGACGGAGTGAGAGTGTGAGAGACAGAGAGTGAAAGAGACAGAGAGAGTGAGAGACAGAGTGAGAGATAGAGAGACAGAGAGAGTGTGAGAGACAGAGAGTGACAGACGGAGAGAAGTGAGAGAGAGAGACAGAGTGTGAGCGACAGAGTGTGAGAGACAGAGAGTGACAGACAGAAGTGAGAGACAGAGAGAGTGTGAGAGATAGTGAGAGAGAGTGAGTGTGAGAGACAGAGAGACACACAGAGGGAAAGAGTGAGAGAGCGCGAGAGTGACGGTTGGGATATGAATCGAGTGACGCGCGACGGCGCGAGCAGCGGCCACCCGGTCTGACCCCCTCCCCCACACCCCCCCCCCCTCCCCCCCGCCCGGGAGAGGAGGCCTCACTCATTCATCCTTCAAGGGAGAGAGCGTGAGTGACACAGAGAGAGAGAGTGAGAGACACAGAGAGAGTGAGAGTGAGAGACACAGAGAGAGTGTGAGAGACAGAGAGAGAGTGAGAGACACAGAGAGAGTGAGAGACACAGAGAGAGAGTGTGAGAGACAGAGAGAGAGTGAGAGACACAGAGAGTGAGAGACACAGAGAGAGAGAGACACACAGAGAGAGAGAGAGAGAGTGTGTGAAAGGAAGACCTTTGAGAGTGAAGACAGAGGGAGGGAGAGATAGGAGGAGGAAAGGTGTGTGTGTGTGTGTGTGAGTGGGGGGGGTTTGGTCTAAAGATGGAGACGGTGTTGTGAGGGCAGAAAGCTGCAGCGCCGAGCCGCTCGCTGCTTGTTGTCGGGGGGAGAGAGAGAGAGAGAGAGGGAGAGGGAGGGAGGGAGGACAGAGAGGAGAGGAGGGGAGGGGGGTGATGTTTGAAGGAGAAGAAGAAGAAGAAGAGGAAGAAGCGTCGCCGGCCCCGAGCAGCTCCCTGGCCCTTCTCCTCTGCCTCCGCGTCACTTTCCTATGGAGGACGGGCTGGTAACGACCAGGATCATCACCGCCAGCACCACCGCCAGCACCACCACGACGACGACGACGCGCCACAGCCGCCGCCGCCGCCGCCGCTCGCGATGCCCAAGCCGAATGGAGGAGGGGAGCTGCTGCCGCTGCCGCCCGGCTGGGAAGAAGCAGCGGATCTCGACGGCAAGGTGTACTACATCGACCACAACACCAAGCAGACGAGCTGGGTCGACCCCCGCGACAGGTAAGGTAGGCTCGGACCCCCCCTCCATCACCACCCGCCCGGGCAGGTAACCCAAGATGCCCTCTCCCTCTCTCTCCCTCTCTCTCTCTCTCCCCTCTCTCTCTGTTTGCCGGATCAGGTCCGGGGCCCCGGCGAGCTGCGCATGCGCCAGTCTTCCATTCCAGTCTCTACCAACAGACGGCGGCGGCGGTGCGGGGGGGGGGAGCGGTGAACCCCGGGGCGCCGACCGCCGATGCGCATGCGTGACATTCCCCCGCCGGGAATTCGGGGCGGGCGGGCGGACGGCGCGTGCGCCACATTCCAATCATCCTCATCCTCATCATCATCCTTGCGTTTCACGCAGAGCCCCGACACGTCTTCCGAGACGTCCCACACAGCGCTTCACGGGCTACACTGGAAAGTGAATCGACTGCGTGTCTTGGGGGCGAAACGCCCACCCCAACGCCACTATCCCTCCACCGGCACCGCCCGTGCGTACCCTTCCAGCAGTCTGACTCTGGGATTTCCACGTGGAAATCTCAGCTTGGTTTGGATACTCTTAAGCATGGTGATGGGTTTCTGCACGTGCCAGACACCCGGCTGACCAACACACACTCACTCACTCACGCCCACAGTTCCTCCAAATCAGATTGCGAAGTGCTTTTTTTTTAAAAAAACCCTCCTTCCTGCTTGACAATCTTCTGTTGGCTACCAGGAGAACCGGGGATCACAATTCCAATTAATAATGTTGAGTATCTGTTTGCGTAACTGGAGGAAGAGATTTGAGTACCACATACATGCACTCCAGCCTGCAGAGAATATCATTTTGAAAATGGGTGTTTTGATGCTTTGTGTGCACTGCAGTTTTAGCAACTGTATTGTGAAGATTGAGTTAAATTTTTGGAGGTGGAGTTTGATGTGGGGACAATAGATTTTGTTCTCAAAAGGCCATGCTTTGAAAGTGTTCAAATTAGATTGCTATTTTTCATAAATTCTTATTGATTTATTTTTACAAAACAGAAAATATACAATGACACAAAATCTACAGTGATTAGGAACGTTATTATGAGCTGCATATTTTAATTGCTCTTTGCTGTCAATTACTGGATGTGAAGTACTAGTGATGCAAGTCTACCTCCCAACAGGTGGTCTTGCATCTGATGCCGAAATTCACATTTTTGTGAAATTGCCAGTTTGATACAAAGCGTAAACATAAAAGCATTATTGGAATATTAAATAGCACTTATTGAGCCTTATCTAATATATTTTACAAATATTTTGTTGCATTTTTATTCTTTGTATATCAGGTGAAAAAAATAAAGGTATTTGATTGGCTTAAATTCAAAATAGAACTATTGGATTGTACAGAAGGAATTACGTGTTGTGAGCTGACTTTAAATTTTGGTTATGTTAAAAGAAAGAAGTGAATCAAAAATCCTATTTAATAACATTTCTCAGGTAAAATGAATTGTCAGTTAATGTTCCCCTGGAACTCAGTGAACTATTCAATCGACTAATACTGGCATTATAGTTATGATGGTAATTTTGCAGAATTTTTTTTCCAGATTTTAATGCTATCAAATGAAGCATGGATGATTTGTCTTAAGAAGGCTGTGTGAGATTTAAAGGTTATATAATGCTATTACAATCACCTCTGAAAAATCCTATTAATCACATTTCTCCTCTGATTGTTCTGTATACGTATGATAGGATAAGCAATCATTTAACCCCCAGGGCTAATTTCTCCATTACTATTCATTAAAGTAGAATCACTGGAATGTATTATTTTATCTATTTCAATTAAATTTGATTGACACGATATTAATATTAATACACTAGAATGCAAGAAAATATTTTAGAACTACTCTGAATAAGAATTTATTTTTCTTTGTAATCTTCATGAGAACAGTAAGAAATATTATTAATAGCAGTACTCTACTGTTATTTCTGCTGTATTTTCTTCACTTTGTACTCTAAACTTAGATAATAGTTTTTCTTGTAAAACTCAACTTGTAGGATATTTGTTTCAAAATTATGGTGGCAGGAAATTAAATGTTTCAAATATATTTCTTACTTTTCCCAATTTACTCATTTGTGCACCTTCTTTGCAACTAAACTTGAACAACTATGTGATGTAAAGGAGCTTCCCTGAGTAAACTTTAGAAACCTAATTTGCGACTTTGTCTTTAAAATGTGCTAGACCTAGTAATCTATTCCAAAAGTAACTAGAGCTAAAGGCAATGAAGAAATAATTGCATAGTGCCTCTCAAACCCACAGTTTCACAGTTCCAGAACTGTATTGGATTCAGTGGAGACATTGGGCATCTTGTAAAGTACTTTTCGTACAATTCGCATCACTTCTCAACATATTTATGCAGTACCATAGACTCATTTTATGAGTTTAGCATTACATAATGCAGTGAAAGAAAAGATAAAAACATCAAGAAAAACCCTCTTTAGACCTGAGAGGAGTAAATAATACCAAGTAAATCCAGTAATATTCTGCATACCATGTGCATTAATCTCTGGATTCCTGAGGCTCCTAGCAACAAGAATTGTAAACAAAACAAATTCATGAAGCACTGGACTGTAAATTTAGTTAAATTTCTGTTTCCAAAACAGCAGTGGCTAAAATAAATACTGCAAAAATAGATAGTACTGGATATATTTAATTATGTGTAATTTTTTGCCTTATTTTTCTATTTGTATATGCTGTAGGCAAATGTCTTTGGAAATCAAAACTGCTAGCATACATCAGTTCAAGTATATCCGAAAACAACAAAATATTTAGTCTAGTCTTATAAGAAATTTACTTTTAAGAAAATAATTCTGCCTTGCTGTACACATTGTTGAGATTACAAATTAAAGGTATATTAGGTCCAGTTTAAAAAAAAAAGCCTTTTCTTGTCTGAGTTGATGTCACAAGTAAGTGGCACTTTACAGGTTACTTGAGGATTAATATCTGCTGTTGTAATTCATTTTGTGCATTTCCAGACATGAGCAACAACATATTTGTATACAGCCTTTCACGTCAGGAGGATGTCCCAAGGCACTAGAGAGTCGGGGATCTGTACCTGAGCTGGTGTTTAGGATCAGGAGGAGTGGAGAGCGGGAAGGTTAGGGATAGGAGGGTGACCAAAGGCATAGTCGAAGAGTAGTATCTCAAGACAGGTTTTGAAGAAGGCAAGGAAGGGTCGAGACAGAGCGCCTGTAGGGTGGCGTTCCAGAGAGTGGGAGCAGAGAGGCTGAAGGCCCGCCCGCCAATGATGAGGAGCCAGTGGAGCTGGGCGAGCTGGGGTAGGATCGCGGAGCCTGGTGTGGGTGATGACACAGGCTGCAGTGTGCTGGATGATCTGCAACCTGTGAAGGGAGGAGGTTATAGAATCATAGAACTATACAGCACAGAAGGAGGCCTTTCACCCCATCTTTTAAAAGAGATAACCAAGTCAATCCCACTCCTCTCTGCTCTCTCCCTTGGAAACTTGACCTCCCCAAATAATTATCTAATGAGTTGGGAAGGCCGACAAGCAGGGAGTTTGCATAATTGTGCCTGGATGTGATGAATGCATGAATGAGGCTATCGGCAGCCTGTGGTGGGAGACAGTGGTGGAGACGGACAATGTTGCAGAGAGGGTCATGGCACGGATGTGAGGGATGAAGGACAGTTGAGCAGGACACAGAGAACAGAACCCTTAATGGTTGTGATGGAGAGGCTATTCTTGTCGCTTTACTACTGTACATCATTTCTGGGGAGAGAGTTTGCACTCCATTTCTAGAAAACAGGAAATTTGCCTAGGTAGCGTACATATGTAAAACTTATATAGTTACGATTACAAGTACAGGTACGAGCTTGATGCAGTTTAGCAATGTTAAAGTACTGTGTATGGACTTTGTATGTGCCTGTATGTATTGTGGTGAAAGCTATTACTTCTTGAGAACTGAATATTTTCCACTTTTGCCACTCAGTGCTTGCATCGCACATTCTCTTGTAATGCCCAGATCCTTGAGAGCAAAGCTCGGCAGGTTTACAACCATTATCTGGATTTCAAAATGTGATTAAAGGAATTTCAAACTTTTAGATTGCCAATTCTGGTTTGGTGACACAGATTAATTTTATTCACATTCCATCCTTTCTTAGTGGAATTAAGTTTCCAAGTTATTCAGTGGTTATTACATGACATTGTCTGCACTGAAGAATCAATCATCATGGTATTGTAATGAATGATAATTCACAGTTGATGGTGTATTTTTCATGTGTTGCTGCAAGTTTAAGAGAAGTCTATTGTACAATAAGATATGCTGTAACATCTGATAAGCTGGTCATAAAGTAGAAGATTTTTGTCCCCCTCTGATTTGATTCTACCATGTACAGTATTGTATTAGAAATATTTTTATTAGTTGCCTTTGGGAGAAAAGGAATGTAGAGAGGCTTGACTGGCTTACATTTTTTCTTTAAGCAAGTTCTGTGAGTCACAATTAATTATAGTGTTATAGTGCTAAAATTCTTTGTAGGTTTGAATGGAACTATTCCGAATGAGTGAGTGACTGACTGTGGCTCGCTTTCCTTTGCGTCTTTTACGCTCCTTTCACTGCCCCTCCTCAGTGGTCGATCTCTATCATAATATATTTTCTTCCTTCTAATCCTCCCATTAACATTGCTCCACCTCTTCTTAATTCTCTCCATTTCTACTCCTGTCACCATCATTTTTGCCAAATGCCATTTGCTTCATATACTTCAGTGAATTATTCTAAATTCCTTCACAGACTTATTATTTCCTAAGAACCAGTACTTTCCCTCCTATGTTTCTTAAGTATCTGACAGTAAATTGATTTTTTAGCTAGGGCTGGCGAATAATGAAATGTGTATCACTGGACCTCCATTGTTGATTAAATGTTATGCAGGATTTGGGCCAAAGTTTGCTTTTCTTTTTCCAGTGATTAATATTGGCAGAAAGTATTATTTTTGTCCCCTTTTTCAATATATGAATAGAGTTTTCATAAAATTTAGTGAAACAAAAACTGGTTCATGTTTTGGGATAGGAAGAGAAATCACCACTTGTGCATTTAATTTATACAATGACACTGTTATTTAAACATTAATCGGGATAAAAAGCTAATTAAGGTTAAATCTCTGTTGTCTCCATGGTACGTTCAATCCTTTATAGAACAAAATTAAAGGAGCTTAATTACTCCATGGGGTAAAAAAAGACACAGTCTAATATTTTGGAAATTCTGCTTTTATGAATATAGCACAAGAACTACAGTTCCAAAAATAGTATAGTAAAGGTGTTTAAGCTTTGATCTTAACTCCCAGTTACTTACTGAATAACAGGATATGGGAGCAAAGAGCAGAGGGCAGCACTGCACTACACATATGCCAACATATATTTCTACTTTATTGCTTGTTAACCACAGAGCTAATGATCATAGGAATTTATTTTTATGCTGTGCATCACATTATTTACTTTGTAGTAATAATAATACTACAAAGGCTCATGTAGAGCATAAACACCGACATAGACCAGTTGGCCCGAATGGCCTGTTTCTGTGCTGTATATTCTAATGTATTCTAATAATCCTTGCATTTGATATAGCGCCTTATCACGTGTTCGAGACGTCTCAAAATGCTTCACAGAATATACTGCAAAGTGAATTGAGTGTATATTTTGTGGGTGAAACACGAAACACACAGCAGTGTCCGACAAACAGTCGTGGATTGAAGTGACCAATTTTTTTTTTGAAGGCATTATTACCCCTGAAAAAGTGATCCGACAATCGACTAATAACCAGGTTCCTACTTACTGCTAGGTAAACAGAGGCATATAGGGTAAGGAAACTTGCTCAACATTTCACCCTGCTGGGAACCAAACCCAGGTCTCTCACTTGCAAGCCGAGTGGTCTAACCACTGAGCTACAGGACCCCTAGTAAAGACCACTGTGTGGATTTAAGTGTGGATTTAATTCAGATTAAAAGTTGGTCAATTCTAAATTGTCATCCAATAAATGTCATATTCACAAAATCATTGGAATGTGATCCTTTTTTATGGAGATTTTAATCCTTGCATTTTCTAATCAATTAACCATCTGAAAACTCATTAAATCTGGTTTGGTACTGCATATGACATTACAAATTGTAGTAAAAATCCTTTAGAAGAAGCCACAATCGATGATTTATTTCTCTGTTGGACAGGTAGCTGCAATAAATGTGTGCTTTACAGCGTGGGACTAAATTGCAGTCTTAAAGATTAATAATCTTATGAAAATTATTATCACTGTGTCATTTTGTTTAATGAGCAGATTGGCACTTTTTTGATTACAAAGATAGTGAGTTAAATCAAGGTATGAAAAGATATAGACTGCAGTATTCCTGGAGCATAATTCATTCAAGGCATGTGCCATATAAGAGTATACATAGGTTCAAGGTACATATTTTATGATCTACGTTGTGTGAAATAATTTAAAGCTGAAGCTGAATACAAGGAATCTTTACCTCCAGTGTTTGATCTGTCCCTCCAGGTCCTGCTGACTAGTATTATCCTGTGCACCTCTATGAGAGGCTTTAATTTACTGTTCATAATATTTTTAAAGGGAGGCAGTTAACATCTTTTAAAATTTGTTTTGTAGATGGACCAAACCTCTCACCTTTGGTGACTGTGTTGGAGATGAACTCCCATTGGGATGGGAAGAAACACATGATGCACAGGTTGGAGCCTACTATATTGATCACAATACACGTAAGTATTCCAATTAAGAATTACTACTTTGCTGCTGTAAATGTGACATGGCATAGGAACTCAACTACCCAGTTCCTTAAATCCATTCCCTTGGCCATTTGGGAAAAATGAGCTCTTGGGAAGATAGTTTTCTATTGTGGCTTGTGGTCTATTATAGATAAAACTATAATACCATAATTAATTTCAATTCATTCACAATATTTGTAATGCAAATGAAAGAATCGAACACTTAGAAACATAGAAGGAGGCCATTCGGCCCATTATGCCTGTGCCGGCTCTTTGAAAGAGCTACCTACGGAGTTGTGTAGCTCAGTGGTTAGAGCACTCGCCTTGCAAGCGAGAGACCTGGGTTCGATTCCCGGCAGGGCGAAACCATGGGCAAGTTTCCTTACGCCACACGCCTGATGATAATCCTTCAAGAAAAAAAAACAATAATAAAATTGGTCACTTCATTCCACGATGTTTGTGGGACGCTGCTGTGCGTAATTGGCTGCCGTTTCACCCACAAATATACAGTCAATTCACGTTACAGTATATTCTGTGAAGCGCTTTGAGACATCTAGAAGACGTGAAAAGTGCTATATCAAATGCAAGGATTATTATTATTATTACCGAGTCCCACTCCCCAGCTCTTATCCCATAGCCCTGCAATTCTTTCCTTTTTAAGTACTTATCCAATTCCCCTTTGAAAGCTATTGAATCTGCTTCCTTTCAGGCAGTGCATTCCAGACTGTAATAACGTATCAGATATAGTTTGCTACTTTTGCTAGATATGCATCAACATTCTAGTCTTCGAATGTAAAACCATTTTGTCTTAAAATTTAAGCATGTGCAGAATTGTGGCTAACTCAGTCTTAATACTCTTATGTTGAGCCCAAGACTTTGTCACAGAATTATGCTCGAGATGATACTGATATGTGTGTGAGGCATTCAGTACGTGGTGCAAGTTACCTGGTGTATGCTGTTGCAGTTATTAGACAAAACAATCCTTTCCTCCTTAGCTGAACAAATCGTCAAATTGTGGTTCAGAAAACTTGTCACTTCTTGAACGTTTTATAAATCTGTTGCTTCAGTTTATTAGTTGTTTAAAAAAAAACTTGAACACTGTTTCTTGGAATATTATGTTTCAGAGACGACTCAGATTGAGGATCCTCGAGCTCAGTGGCGAAGAGAACAGGAGCGTATGTTGAAAGACTATCTGATAGTGGCACAAGATGCTCTCACTGCACAGAAAGAGATCTTCCAGGTGAAGCAACAAAGATTAGAACTAGCCCAACAGGAATACAGGCAGCTAAATGATGTTTGGAAGGATAAATCTGGCTCCCAGACAAGCTGTGAGTACTGATAACTAATTTCCTTCTCCTAACACCAGTGTTTGTTGATTTCAACGCAATATGACGTTAACAGAGAATTCATCCACTTACCCTAATGTAGAGCATCTATCATGAAATTTGAACTGCAGAAGATTACTTACTTCTACAATTGCAGATGTCAAATGTAGAATTTTGTGAACAGCAGTTAAGCTTGCCTTCAGGGTAAGCTTTTGAACAAAAAGTTGTGAGCATTAGAATTTGTTTTGCAGAGAGAAACTTCTTTCAAAACCCCCTGCATGATACAAAAATTCAAAGATGATTTTGATTGTGAGCTCACTGAAACTGTATTTTGCTTTGAAAATAACAAACTCAGACTTCTTATAAATTCAACCATGTATTTACATGAAGCATTTCACAATTAAAATATGCAGCTAATTTATTTTGTGTTCATATTTTTCAGTATTCTCGGGCTCTTCATCCAGCACTAAGTATGATCCAGACATTCTCAAGGCAGAAATATCAACAACGAAATCTAGGGTGAGCACGATTATTCAGTCATAACCTAATTGATTTATAAGGAACAATGTATATTCACATACATTATATGTTTGGACTTATGTAGTTCACAACTTTTGAATCGTTTTTCATATTTTAGAGCCCTTTCAAAATTCCAGTAGCAATGTATTCATTTTTTGTTATTTGTTAAAGACCTATTTGTTTTCTTGTGCTAGTTGCACAGTCAAGTACGTTCACGGCTTATTTTACTGAAACTTAGCCTATGTCTCACCCTTGAGTTTTCAAAAACGTGCAGAGTTAGTAATCTTGCTCCATTCAGCCTGTATTCTTACAAAGAGTGCAGGAATATCGCCACCTTTCTGATGGACCTTGGTCTTTTTTTCATCTAGCATTTTCTTATGTTCTAATATCTATTAAGAACCTTAGCAACAGAGTAGGCATATAAGCAAGGAAAACATTACTAATAGGCACGTTCCTGAAGGCCTAACTGATTGAGTTGTATTGAATATATGTACATTATCACCCCAATCGCACTACACGGTACTGCAACGACAGTAAATAGTAAGTACTAATGGGCATTTTTGCTGCAGATAAACGCCACACGCACAAAAAACGAATTTCAGGAGTCCAGGCAATCTGCATTCAATAAGTACTACTAATGAGGTCAATTAAGAATTTGGGAACTGGCTGACAGCATCATTTTTCTGTCTGGCCCCAAAAAAGGAGGCCTAGTTTCCTGAGTAAGCTTGCACAGAGATTGCAAATTTATTCTCCAAATTAAAAGCGTTACTCTATCAGCATTACAATAGAAAATACACCCCTTGGCAAGAAAATGCATTGAGTTGACACACACTTCAAACTCAGCCAGAATCTCACCCTTGAGTTTTTAAAAACATGTTGGAGTTGTATTCTTTTTCCATTAAACATGTTTTCTTACAAATCTGACAACGCATTAACAGAGCTTGTAGACTTATTTTACCCAATTTGGCAGCATTTTATATATTTTAAAACCAATTTATGAAGAAAAATTGCTCAAGTGAAATATCATATTTGTTTTATTTAAAGAACTGGGTTGTTAGTTTTCTTATCACTGAATGCCCTCTTCACCACTGCACTTCCCAGGAGTAAATAAATAGCTTTTGATGTGTATGTGGGGTGGGGGCGCAGAAGAGATGAATGATAAAGAGTATACATTGTTAGATGCTTATGTACCACACTAGTTATTGTACTTTTACTCGTGCCTCAACTTAAGGACATACGGAATGAGAAAAAGCCATTTGGCCTATTAAGCCCATTCCAACAGAGATTTAAAACTGACTGCTGAAATTCAGAAATAAAAATGGTGAATGCTGAAATGTCAATGTATGGGTAGGACCTTTCTTCAGAAATACAATACAAAATTACATTTGTAAAGTGCCTGTCAAGTCAGGATGATGTCCCAAGGAGCTGAACAGTCAGGGCTTTTAGGCCCCGAGTGGTGGGGTGGAGTTTGGGTTCAGCTTGTGGAGGGAAGAGTTGGGAAGGCTGACAAGCAGGGAATTGGCATTGTCGAGCCTAGATGTAGAAATAGGTGGAATGGAAGAGTGCTTTATAGGATAGAAGAGGTTAGTAGGATCTGCAAAAAAAANTCAAAACTGAACACATAGGGACTGCTAATGAATTATTTATAGATTGCGAAATGCTGGAAAGTGTGTGAAAATGACTATTATAGCTCGCCGATTTGATTTATTTTGAGGGATTCTACCAGAAATGTTAATGTGTCATATTATCTAACTAATACTATTTTCTGTGCAAAACTTTTTTTTAACATTATTTTTCACTTTTGCAGGTGAATAAACTGAAGAGGGAGCTAACACATATGAGGCAGGAACTCCAGTACAAAGAGCAAGGATTTGAAACTCTCAAGGCGTAAGTGTTAAAGAACTGTAAAATTTTAATAACTTTCATTATATTCTAATCTAAATTTAAGTGGGTAAAATGTGATGATCTTGCCTAGTAATAATTATGCATGTTCTTCATTTATACAATCTCCACATACAAATGGGAAATTGTGAAATACTAGGGCTTTTAATTTTATATATATTTTTTATAATTTTATATATCCTAGTACCAGCCATGTAATCATTCCAGTATAATAATAATAATCCTTGCATTTAATGTAGCGCCTTATCATGTCTTCGAAACATCTCAAAGTGCTTCACAGATATTACTGTAAAGTAAATTGACTATATTTTGTGGTCGAAACGTGGCAGCCAATTACACACAGCAGTATAGGTTGCATGTAAGGCTTTATTCTGTAATCCTGTCACAGTCTTTTTGTTCTGGAAGCAAAGATATGATGTAAATTTGTCATTGGTGCCACAATAACCTCACTTGTCTTTTAGTGGAACAGTTCTTTCAAGGAAGACTTCCTTTTGTCCTTTTGTGAGCATTGTGATTGCAAAATTGTCTAAAATGCTTAAGAAAGACATGGTTCTTACATATGCAGTTGGCACATACTTTTTGAACTTAGTGTGTTTCTTGTATTAAAGGGCTTTGACTAGAAAATGTTAAATAACTTTTGTATCTTGCTAATTGTTAAATATTTTGAATGGATTTTCAATGGCAGAATTGATCTAAAGATGTCTGGTGCTCGAAGAGGATATAAACTGGACGAGGCACAAGCCATTGTCAATGAAATGAAATCGATCAAAAAGGCCATCAACTCAGGAGAGAAGGAAAAACGAGACCTCATGCAGGTATAGCCTTTATGTGTTCGAGTTAGTTGCAGTTCAAGTCTTAATGTCTTATCAATCTGACTCTGAAATAATCATTTCCACTTTTGGGGATAGGATTTGGACCAACTAATCAATGTATCAGCAGTGTTGAATGGGTCCATTACCACTGTTTCAGCTTTCAGAATTTTTTATACTTTTACTTAGCATAACTGACTAGCAAGCAGGAATATTATCCACTACAAGATCTGGCCTGGACAAAACTGAGGTGGATTTAATTTTCACTATTATAGGTGGGGGAAAAAAAATCATAGGAAAATGAAAAACCAACTGCGGGGAAACAGGACTGCACGAAACTTGTCACTTTTCACCCTGGATGCAAAGAGAGACTTGCGCTGGGTTCATTTCAAAGCTTATCTGGAGACCAGGTATCCAGCAAGCTTGATGTGCGACATTGAACTTGGACCATTATCTTGAATAAAAAAAATTTGAATGCTCCCAGAGAGCTCTGCGCATTAAATAGTCATTTCCAATGTGCCAAATGCTCTTGCTATATTCACAGAAATTCTAGGCTTATCAGACAATTAAAACAGAAAAGTTAAGGTAAAGTTCACAGTTGAACAGTTTTACAGAATTGACTGTTAAATATATTTTGAAATGTAAATGCTCTCTTAAATTTACAAAAAAAGTAAATGTTAACCCTTCATTATTGTTTCAACTCATGTATATATTGCAGCTGTGCTATATTGCACTGCCTATTGTAGTGTTTTAACATTTTATGAATCTGGTTTCAGCTTTTAATAATTAAAATGTATGTTTGACCACTCAGAAAATGTACTTTTATTGTTTAAAATTATATTTATTGTTTTTACCTTTAGATTCTTGCCAGATTGAAGGATGGTTTCCGAATGGAGACAGGGTCTCAGTCTGATCTCTGGGCCAGTCGTTCATCACTAGCAAGTTCAAAACAATCTATTAGTCGCCACTGCTCAAATGTTGGTTCCCAGACAGATATCTCAGGAGATGTGAGTATAAAATACATTATTTTCTATCAAATATGATCAGTACAATAAATAAATACGAGGCACACACACCATAGGTTGGTATGATTGACCAACCTTAACAGAACTCAGTTAATTTCATATAATTACTGGTACCAATATCCTTCGGACAGCTTACTAGACATAATTTTTTAAAAAGATTAATCACTGTGCCAGTTATCCATGAATCATATTTTCAAAACCTTTCCCTCAAATCTATACATATAAATTGACCATTTGGCTGCTGAGAGAGGGGAGATGACGAGCAAGTCAAAAATGAGATATCAGATGGATGATTTTAGATGGTCAGTACATTTCTCAACCTTCTATCCTACGATAGAATGTTCTCATGAAAAATTCACGTGCCAAAGTCAGCAAAATTACGAATCAATGGATAATTTGTCAGTTTGTTTGCTGATAATTAGAGAATTTGCCCTTGGATACATTATTGTACTTTGTGTCAGTAGATGAATTGAATTCTGCATTCAAAGCTGGACACTGGGACAATGTAGCATCATTATTAAAAATATGTTCTTGCAAACCCATTGTGACCACCTTTATCTCTACTGTATTCGGAACATAAGATCAGGAATAGGCATTCAGCCCCTTAAGCCCATTCCAACATTCTGTTAGAGTACGGCTGATCTGTACCTCAAATTAATTTACCCGCCTTTCCTCCGTATCCCTTTGTACTTTTACCTAATAAAAATCTAGCGACCTCACTCTTGGATTCAGCATCCACAGCCTTTTGGGAGAGAGAGTTCCAGATTTCTAATACCCTTTGTGTGGAAAAAGTGCTTCCTGATTTCACTCTCAAATGGCCTCGCTCTGATTTTAAGATTATGCCCCGGAGGATTTCAAATCTCAAAAGGCAACAATGAACAACAAATTGAAATATTAATTTTAATTTGAATAATATTATAGAGTTTACTAATTAAAAGAGATCAAGCCTTCTCCCATCCACTATCATTTTCTTTTAATAAAATGTGACTTCTAGAATACTTATTTTTATATTGATAACTGTCAGCAAATTATGATATAAACTACTTTTAGATATATACATTAAAGAATTGTAGATTGGAAAGCAATACTGTACGTTGCATATAACAGTTCTAACATTTTACTGCAGAAATGTACATTGGGGTATACATATAATATATATTTTGTATAGAATGTGTTGTGAAGGTGTAACACTCCAGAGAATTCCTAATAAGATCACAGGTGAAAGATTAAACAACACAGGGATTGAGAATCAGTGTTGCATGTTCCGAGGGGAATTGCAATCACAATTGCAGTGTATAGAACATTCAATTTAGAATTTCTGTTGCTCTGCTCCTACTGCTTTGCTTTTTTTCAGTTCTTTGATGCGCATAATGTTTTGTGATCTAATGACAAAATAAAACTCAATGGCTTGCATTATATTATAATTTTTAAAATGCCGACCTTTGTTTCTAGACTTGGCTCTGACTTGTGCCAAACAATCCCTGTTGGAGTAAAAAACACTGTCATAATCACACTGTTGTTCATTGTTGCCTAATGAAACCTTTTGAGAGTATACAACAGCTGTGTATTATGTTCCAAATCAGAAATGTACCTTATATTGCTAGTCATGATAACTGGCAAATACTCTTGCTGATGTTTAGTTGAACAATATATACTTAGCCAATATCCAGAAAAGGGATATCGTAAAGCACTCTTAAGAATAGGGGACCATGATGGGAATAGAATATTTTATTTAGAAATAATGAGTTGCTTGACATGTATTTAAATCATGTCAGATTGTTTTTCATTGGCTCTACGACTTTAGTTTGGACTTCAAAAGATGATCTCTATTCGATAAAATGAATTTGTTGTGCTGGAACTATTTTTTTCCTGTTGCATTTAAAGGTGAATTAGATAATTGCTTGAGAAAAAAAGATATTGTCAAAAATGCAGGATAACAGCTTTAGAGTAGAGAACTCCAGTAGAAGAGCTGGCACCAGCACAATGAGGGCGAATGGCCTTCTGTGTTAACATCCAATGTTTCTCCCAAATTTTGTGTACTTTTATGCTAGATATATATTGTTATGGATGGTTGATAGTGAGCAATAACATTAATTTGATTGGAGAGTTCAGATGATAAACCACAGGAGTGAAGCTGGAATTGTTTGTAGTAGTCACTTGAACACTGAGGTTATGTTACAAGTCTTATTACTTGCTCCCGACCATCTATTTTTATTTTATGACACATGAGGGCTCAATAAAACAAAAACTGTGAGGATTACACTGGAATGCAGCACTAAAATGACATTGATTGAAGGGAGAGTTACAATTTCTCTACTGGTGGTACTGCATTACTGTTGGATTTTAACTTGTCAGGGCTTCTTGAGTTCATAGCTATACCTGATGTTGCTGTTTGTTTTCTTTTAACATTTTTTTGTTCCAGTTTGTTTCTAGTAATAACACTAAACTAGCTGAGAAGGTCAGACTTAGCCTGCAATATGAAGAAGCAAAGAGAAGGTCAGTGCTAAGCAAACATTATTATGGTCAAATTCTCAGATCAGCTTTTTTTTGCTTTTTTTTTAACTGTTCATTTTTTTTGTACCCATAGGATTTCAAATATCAAAATTGAGCTGGTTAAACTTGCAAGTGATGCCTGGCCTGGAGTATTGGATGCAGAAAGAGACAGACTGATACTAATTAGTGAGAAAGAAGAACTGTTGAAGGAACTGCAGTTTATAAATGCTCGTAAATGGTCAGAAAGTGAGGTAGAGCGCCTGGAGACAGAAAGGAAACGGTTAGCAGAAGACCTTCAGACAGCACGGGACACGCAAAGTAAAGCACTGACAGAAAGGTTTGTTGCTCAATTTATCAGACACGGACGCAAGAATTACTAAAATCGCGTTGTAGTAATATCTTGCAAATATAAGTAACGTTATGAGGTTTTTAATTGACGTTTACAGAGAGGGAGGCGGGGGGACTCAGAAAAGAAGAGCATCTGAGAGAGAGACGAGGGATGGCACAGTATGATGCAAAGACAGCCATGGATATATTCTAAACTGCAGCGTTAGAGCCCCTTTAATCAGGTCACCTGCTCTGGTCAAGGTGACAAATTACATCCTGTCCCTCTGTGACCAGGGCTTCCTCTGTCTTTTCATTTTCATCGAATTCTCTGCTGCCTTCGATACCATGGACCACTCCATCTTCCTCCACTGTCTCTCCTCACCTCAATCCTCAAAGTTCTCAATCCTCAATCCGTGGAGTCCTGTAGCTCAGTGGTTAGAGCACTCACTTTGCAAGTGAGAGACCTGAGTTCAATTCCAGGCAGAGGGCGAAACCTTGGGCAAGTTTCCTTACTCCACACAGAGCCTAATAATAATCCCTCCAAAAACCAAAAACAATAATTAATTGGTCATTTTCAATCTACGACTGTTTGTGGGACATTGCTGTGCGCAATTGGCTGCCGCGTTCGCCCACAAATATACAGTCAATTCACTTTGCAGTATGTTCTGTGAAGCGCTTTGGGACGTCCTCCCGACGTGAAAAGCGCTATATCAAATGCAAGGATTATTATTATTATTATTCTGTCCTTGAATGGTTCAGGTCTTATCTCTCACACCATCTCCAATTTGTCTCTGCCAACAGTTTCTCTTCCAGCTCCCGCACAGTCTTGTGTGGCGTTTCTCAGGGCTCTGTCCTCGTTCCCCTCTTCTTCAACCTCTACATGCTCGCTCCTGGTGACATCATCCGCAGATATGGGGTCAACTTCCACATATGCATGGATGGCACCCAAATCTATCTTCCTGTCTCCACCCTCGATTCCAGGACATTTGTCTGTCAAACATCAAGGCCTGGATGAGAGCCAACTTTCTACAGCTGAATGTCAGCAAGACTGAGGCCCTCCTGATTGGCTCTCGCCAGCGCCTCAGGCATTGACAGCATCAGCATCCAAGGATGTACACTTCACCTCACCAAGCTAGTCAGGAACTTGGGCGTCTTGTGCGACCCTCCGCTGCATTTTCTCCCCCATATCTGTGCCATGATCCACTCTGCCTTCTTCCACCTCCGCAACATTGCCTGACTCTGCCACTGCCTCACCCCTTGTCGAAACCCTCAAGGCTCGACTACTGAAACTCCCTGCTTGTCGGCCTCCCCAACTCTTCCCCCCACAAGCTGCAGATCATCCAGAACTGTGCAGCTTGTGTCCTTTCCCGCATCAAGCTCCGTGACCCCATCACCCCCACCCTTGCCTGGCTCAACTAGCTCCCCATCCCTCAGAGGATAGAATTCAAAATTCTTGTCCTCACTTTCAAGGCCCTCCACAGCCTTGCCCCCTCTTACCTCTCTGACCTGCTAACGCACATTCAACCTGTCCACTCCCTCTGTTCAGCAGGCTCTGGCCTGCTCCATGTCTCCCACCTGACCCACCCTACTATCGCCAGCCGGGCTTTCAGCCTCTCTGCCCCCACCGTTTAGAACTACATCCCACAACCCCTTTGCCTTTCTCCCTCCCTTACCTCCTTTAAGACATGACTCAAGACCCTCCTTTTCGACCGTGCTTTTAGCCGCCCTCCTACCTCACCGCGCTCCCTAATCCCAACCCTGATCCTTGACTGTTCAACACCTTGGGATGTCCTCCCGACATGAAAACGCTTTACACATGTAATTTTGTTGTTTGTTGTTTTAAAATTTGTCAAAGTTGTCATCACTTTTTTAACAATAATGTTAATGTACCATAATATTATTCTACATTATATAAATCGTGAGCTTTTTCACTGCTCCCTAATCAATGTTAAACTTTTTACCCCAGCTATGACTATAAAAATAGAGAGGGAAAGTCATTTTATAATTGAAGTTGTCTTATATTCTGATCAATATGGTAATTTATTAAACAAATCCCTAAAAGAAGCAATTATGTCATTGGGGATCCATTTTCTAATTGCTTTTTTTTGTACTGATCAAGAATAGTAGAGTTGGGAATTGAAAAGCTTTCTCATTTCAGACACACAGTGTCAGCATTAAGTACTTTCAGGTAAGGTATAACTTGGTTAGACGCAGAGTACATCTCCCTCTACTCTAATTTAACATAGACTTTTCCTGTTAATCGACAGAGAAGATGTTAATCCCATGGGTCTGAATTTCATTTAAATCAAAAACCCAGAGGCCATTAACATCTCTGTCTGTTAGCAGTATGAAATTAGAGTAGAGGGAGATCTACTCTGCATCTAACAGCGTTATAACTTATTGTAGGAGATGGGATTTGTTTATTACATTTAGTTTTGATGTTACATAATAGCATTTGAAGAAGTAAGAACTGTACATGCCTTCAAATCTTCACCCAGATGATATAAAACTTGATTATTGTAGAGAATGCTGAGTATAACTGCGTTTGTGATTGATTTTACACAGTGGTCTGAAATTGTTTTTCTCCTTTCGGAAATTTTCAACATAAAACTTGTAAGAATATAATACAATTTTGGAATTTACACCATTGGATGTGGATGACGAATTGTGAACCCCAGTGGACATCCATTTGTTTTTAACTGAAAAGATTTAACACTTCTTTCTTGCTTGGTGATACTGTATGTTATTCTCTGCAGATTGAGGTTGCATAGCAAGAGAAACAACTTGGTAAGGGAGTTAGAAGAAGCGACACGCTTAGCCTCAACATTGCATTCTCAACTACAAAGGTGAGCTTCTCTTCCAATATGTAGAAAGTTGAATGGTTTTAAGAATTAAAAACAGTTTTAGAAGGATTTCTTTGCATTTGAAAATGGAATAAATGTGATAGTTTTGTTCCCGGAGACATGCTCCTTGTCATAGTCATCTTAGATCAGGTGACTCTTCAGTTTATAAAGTCTTATTCAGGCTGTACTTTTACTTCTGTCAATCAGAACAGTTCACTCTGTTGTCTTCCATTTTGGAAAAGGCCCCTTTTTTATTGGTTCCATTTGTTCAGATTAATATCTTAGCTGCAATCTAGGAACAGTGAAGTAGTCAAAATTTTCAAATGAGCTTCAATTGTGGAATTCACACGATTTTCTCCTTTATTGCAACTAAGTCATAAAAGAATTTTGCCTAACCATCCATAGGTTTCAAGGTGCACTAATAAGATAATGTCCAGCCCCTGATGTTTATAACCTTTTCATTCTGTAATTTAAATATGTCTACACATTACCTGAGTAGATAACATCTTGCCACAAGAGGTTTTGGGAAATTGGTTAGGAGACATGAAGACAGAGTTGGCATGAAGAGGATATTTTCTGACTGGTGACCAGTAACAAGTGGTGTTCCTCAGATTTCTGTTGGGGCCCCAGCTTTTCACTGTGATAAAAGAGTAGAAAAACTTTGTATTCTGTCAAGTTCAGGAAGTTGAGGGGTGATCTGATTGAGGTCTATAAAATTATGAAGGGATTTGTCAGGCTGAATAGTGAGCAACTGTTTCCTCTTGAGGATTGAGAACTAGAGGTCATAGTCTTAAACATGAGGCTGAACCTTTTAGAAGTGAAATCAGGAAGCATTTTCTTTAGGCAGTGGGTGGTGGAAGTGTGGAATTCCCTCCTCCAGGGGGCAGCGAAGGCACAGTGGGTTGGAGAATTTAAAACACGGATATGTCTAAGTTTGATAGACGGGTATCGAGGGATTTGGAGAGAGGGCGATGGAAGGTGGAATTGAATTGCGGATCGCCCACATTCTTCGAAAGTGGATGAAGGCTTAGAATGGTCCTATCCTAATTTGCAGATGATACTAACTTGGGAGGTGTGGTAAGTTGTGAGGATGGTGGTGGAAATTTGCAGAGGGATCTAGACAGATTCAGAGAATGGGCGGGAATATGGCAAATGGTATTTAATGTGGTAAAGTTTACCACATTAAAATGTTGTACCTAAAAATGTTGTCGGAGTACATTCTAGACGGAGAAACTCTCAATGCGGTTAATGTACAAAGGTATCTAGGTGTTCAGGTTCATAAATCTTTAAAAAGTAGCACACAGGTGCAGAAGGTTAGCAAAAAGGCTGATGCAGTGATGGCATTTATCACAATTGGGCCAGGAATACAAGAGTCAGGAAGTAATGTTACAGCTGTATAAAACACTGGTCAGTCCCCATTTGGAGTACTGTGTGCAGTTTGGAGCACCAAACCTTAGGAAGGATATATTGACTTTAGAGAGTGTGTAGGAAATATTTATTAGTATGATTCCTGGTATCAAGGGCCTGAATTCCACCCCCATTAGTCTGGTTAGCTGGGGTTTTAGTGAATACTACAGTATAATATTGCACCTAATAATGATTATGCCTTTGTCTTGCAGTCTCTCAAGCAGCACACTTTCACTGTCATCTGGTAGCAGCAAAGGATCATTGACATCCAGCCGTGGATCTCTTGCTCCGTCCAGCCTAGGATCTTCAAGCTCTGTCAGTTTCACTGACCTTTACTATGATCATCCAGAACAGACGGTAGATTTTGATTACCAATATGAACTAGATTTCTTGCTTCAAGAGAGCAGTGTAAATAACCGATTTGCAGGCTCTATAACCACTATTCATGAAAACGAGGTGGTCAAGTGTCACAAGGACTCCTCCTTCATGGACCCATACGGAACCTCTTACAAAATTCAAGCACTGAGATCTTTGTCTGAGACGCCAAAGTCTTTGACTTCATTGTCACCCAGGTCTTCCCTGTCTTCCCTGTCTCCACCTAGTTCTCCTGTAATTACAGAGACTCACTTTTTGGCTTCTTCAGGGGAGTCCCTCTTGAACCATGTCAGCACAGACTTTCAGGATGCAGAACTGCAAAACGATTTTTCTAACTTTGCTTTACACGCTGGAAGTGATAACCAGAAAACTCAAGGCACTGGACAAATCGATGGGGTTCTAATGCACTGCTTAAACTTGGAATCTGCGAACACAGCTGGAATTGTCGATTCATCAAAAGTACTGTATGGAAAGGGTGGGGTTTTTGCATCTAAACGTAATGAAAGAATTGGAGGTAAGATACGCATTCTGTCGACTTAAAATGAGTACGGTGTCAACTCTAAGTGGGTTTCAGATATTAAGATACAAGATGTGCGTTTTGTTGAATAATTTTTGACCTATGCCATTTTTGCCTTAGTTTCCACTTTTTTTATCCTTCTCTCCTGAAAACTGACATTTCCATGGGCTCTGGATGCATGATGATATATTGTATAAATGACATGTTCTTTTAATATAAGTCTGGATAATGGGTGATGGAAAGCTATTCAACCAAAGAAGACATCACAGCCAAGGACAATCCTGTTCTCTGCTGAATTGCAAAATCAATAGCATTAAGTTGATTGTATTAAATTTAAGGTTTCCTGGAATTTTGGAAAATTCCTAAATTTAATCTTAATATTAATGATGGTTTTCCATAGTTCTTTTTAAGCTTCAATGGCCCCTGAGTTTGAATAGCTTGCTGATGCTTACTGTAAAGACTCAGAAAATGAAATGGTCAATTGGGTAAGGTGCAAGTATCCATGAAAGCAATTCCCAGTAGAAGTAACAAAAAGAGTCAAATGCTTTCAGAACCAAGGGAAGAGAGAAAATTTAGGAGAAAAACTGGCTAGCAACTGGATTTGTTCCTTTTGCTGTATGTAAAGTGCCTTGAGAATTGATTAAATTATTTTAACCTTGTTGCTTGATGAAGCTTTTGCTGGAAAGCATAAGTGGTTAGTCATTCAGCAGATGAAACAATTCCACAAAAAGAATTATTTGAAAGATGTGTTCTTCGGTCATAATTTATTCTGAAATACTGTATTGTTCAACAGCTCTTTGAGCTCTGACCACCTGCCCCTCAATAATCTTTTGATTGATTTGAAGTGTCTTAAATGGTCAGATATCTTAACAGCAATGATGACAAATGAATCATTAATTAGGCGTTTGTCTTCAGTGAAATCCCAATTAATGGGAATAAAAAGTACTTGCATGGAAAATTGATGTGCAAATTAGTTGCCAGTCACTAACGACCAATGCAAATGCAAGGATTATTATTATTAAATACAGCATTCTGTCAGCTAGAATTGGCTTCGCCTCAAAATAATCTAAAAGGTTCTCTGTCATTGAGTAAATAATGCTATGGAAATGAGAAGCCAGTTGCATTGTAATTTAGTTTATTTTCAACATGCACAAAAGTGATGGCACCGTGGTTGATGATGTGGATCATATTGATCAGAAAATTACTTATCTAGGGTTGGAAAGATATGTTATTCCATTTAATCGCTTAGTATTTTACAGTACAGTAATTCTCCGACTGTCTACGCCACGCATTTGGAATTCCGAATGAGCTGGACTGGGTCTGAAAAAAATTCTGGGATTCTGTGCGCTAAAAATCCATTCTGCGTTTTCACGTGCTGGCCTACGTGATGCCCACAGCTTTCCCTGATTGGTTTACGCAAGCGAGTGGACGTCAAAGAATCTGTAGCACTATTCGAAAAGAAGGGAATTTCTTCCACTGTCGTGGGCAACCGACACCCAGAATTGGTCATTCACTGCATGGTTGGATGTGGGACATTGCTTTGAGCAAATTGGCTGGTACATTTGTCTACAAAACACAGTCACTATATTTCATGGTAAAATCCTGTGAAGCACTTTGAGACATTTTTGCAAGTATTATTATTAATAATAAATTTGCATTGATAAACAAAGGCTTTAATAAGCAGCCTCGTGAGTAAGGAGTATGTAGGCAGAAAGATACTAAAAGATCCAACAAATAATAATAAAATAATAATGATCCTTGCATTTAATAGAGTATCTTATTAAATCGTTGAGATGTCTCAAAGCGCTTCACAGAATATACTGGGAAGTGCAATGACTGTATATTTTGTGGGCAAATTTGTTTAATTGTGTGGTGTGTTTTTGCCACCTGTTTTTGAGTCTTGCAAATCGTTCTTGGAGGAAGTTTGTGAACAGAAGATCTTCCACTGGGATTTGGGTGAAGCAAGCAGCACCTACATTAGATTGATGTTCTATGATGTCCTTTACTGTCCTAACCTTCTATCTATGGGGCATGGGGGGGTGACTATATCAATGGGTTTCATGCTCACAGCTGATAGTGTATTCATGGGCTTGTACAGCTCAGATTGGCGCTTTCTCCAGGATAACCTTCAATAAATATTCCTACTTAGCCACATGCTCAACAAAGATATTTTGAGAGATTGCTTTGTAAGGAGATCCAAAAGGGTAGGAAAAAACTCGAAACAAATTTAAATGAAAAAAAATTGATACCCAAACATCTAAAATTACTTTTCTCTAAAAATGATTGCATTGTTCAGTTGTTTCTTGGAGCTCTGGTGCCCTCTGCTGAAATATTCCATGAAATATTCCTGCAGTGTTGTCCTGCTATGGATCAAGTTTTTTTAAAAAATCAGTGAAAGATCATCCAGAAAATTGGAAAATTCTTCTTTGTTCATTCCACACTACGTTTAAAAATTCAAGTTATATTTATGCATTTTACTTAAAATATTAAGGTGGTTATTTAATTGAGACTGCCCAAGCCCAGTTGTATATACTAAAAATAGTTTAATATGTTTGAATTGTGCTGTTTTCCAGTTTTTGTGGATGTTTGTGTTCATCTTGGGTAAATGGTGACTTTTTCCAACATCAAGGTCACTGTTATCACCACGTCTCATACTACCAGAGGATATAGGAATTAGCTTTTACTATTTAAGTATATGTTACTTGCTAAGTATGCCGAAACCCTCATACATGCCTTCACTACATTGAGGCTCGACTATGCAAACTCACTGCTGATCAGCCTCCCCAACTCCTCCCTTCACAGGCGGCAGATCATCCAGAACTCTGCAGCTCATGTCCTCTTCCGTACTAGGCTCCGCGACCCTATCACCCTCATCCTTGCCCAACTCCACTGGCTTCCCGTCACACAGAGGATACAGTTCAAGATCCTTGTCCTCACCTTCAAAGCCCTCCACAGTCTTGCCCCCCCCACCTCTCCGACCTAACCCACTACCACCCTGTTCGCTCCCTCCACTCATTGAGCTCTGGCCTGCTTCACGTCCCCCGCCTTGCTTGCCCCACTATCGGCGGGCGGGCCTTCTGCCACTCTGCACCCACCCTCTGGAACTCCACCTCGCAGTCCCTCCATCTCGCCCCCTCCCTCACCACCTTCAAGACCCACCTCAAGACCCTCTTCGATCGTGCTTTCAATCTCCCTGCTTCCCCCTCTGCCCTCCCACACCCCAACCCTCAGTTCGGGTCCATAGCTTTGTCTGTCCAGTGCCTTGGGACGTCCTCCCGACGTGAAAGGCGCTATAAAAATGTAATTTTGTTGTTGTTGTCATCGAGCAGTAGATGTTCGTGAACCTTTAGGGGCGAGAGGACCACTGTGAATTTAGAATTGAAATTTAGAATTAAATGGAATGAGGAGGAATGTACAGTTGTGAGATTTGTAAAATCATCTTTACATTGGTTGGTTAAGTACAACTGCAGTGTGGTAACTGGATGTGTCAAGGAGGACCTTCAGGACAATTGCTAAATATAAAGTGGTATGTCACTAGTCTGATGGTCCTAAATGTAATGTAGTCATAACCTGTAACACCATTTTGTCAATATTTAAAATGGTGGAGAATTGTGGAAAATTCTTTGATTTCAATGTTTTAATAACTGCAGAAAATTGGTTCCAAATTAAGGCTGCATTTAAGATTTGGTCAGCTGGGAGTCGACAGCTGCAGAGAACATTCATCATGGTGTGTTTCCAATCCAAACTATTTTCTCCCCAGAGAGATGCTTCCTTCTTACCCAATTACTTGGCACAGATTGACAAGAGCCAAAGTTTGTAGCATTTAACCAGATAAAAACAGTATATCTTTGTATTGTAAACACTTGTCTAGCAAGGAAATCCCACTTACCTCTATCCTTTCACCTAGCAAATTCTTATGCGCCCTGGGATGCTATTCTGCATGAGGGGCACAAGGTTGTTGTTATGTTCTTATAAGTACTGTTTAGAATATGAAAAATATTCATTTATTTTACCTCTTCCTCTGCTTTTTAGATGCCAGCACTCAAACTGTAACAATTGGGCCTGTGCTTCATTCAAAAATGGGGCGTGTTTCTGCCGCAGTATCAAACGAGTCAGTGGAGGGTGATAGTGGTGTTTATGAAGCAGTTAAAAGGTACGCAGCACATTGTGCAAGTTATTATGCTGCAACTAAATAGAGCTCAATTGTCCTTATTTACTAATGAGGAAAAATGTTAGTTTTCAAAGTTATTCTCTACCCTCTGTTCCAAACTTCCCAAGGAACAAATGATTATTGCTTGACTGGAAAAGGGAAGCAAGAAGATGACCCTTTCAGGAGGTGTTTCATGTAATACTTTATAACAAGATACTGTAAGACATTTACAAGGGAACCAGAGTGATTCATTTAAGAATATTCTCCCTGAGGATAACCTGGCCAAGATGATTTAAAATAAAATGAATTTGAGTTCTTTATCACGTAGTTTGGACACACTGTCAGAAAGCTATTTAAGGAACATCCATGAAATAACACAGAAATAAGTTTTTCTGAATTAATTTCACATTCTTAGTTTTCCATCAATCAGTGTAGATTTTGAAATTCAATTATGGAGCAAATTTTCTTGATCGATGTCACATTTAGCAAAAAAAAAAGTACCTTTACTCATGATTTGTATATTTTGTTCATATATACTATCTAATTGCAGGTCATGTGAAACAGAGGATATACTGTTTGATGATGATTCAGAAACACTGGGAGCATCTCAGGTTCAGATTGGAATGAAGTAAGATTTGCATCAGTTTCAGTCTTGTAAAAGTTTTAAAATTTACCAGACACTTCATTGTATAACTTTGGGTTAATGAATCAAAGGTTAAAGTTGATTTTTAATTAATGGAAATAAAAAATCCTTAATATCTTTAATGCCATTGGGGATATTGGGATCTAAAAAAAAGGCCAGAAAGTGAAACTGAAGTCAAAAACTCGTAAGTCAAATGCCAAAATGAAATAAGAATGTGCTGACATTGTACTGGAGACGTAATTTGCCTTTCAACTCACTAATGTAGTTTGTACCCGATGATTGTTCGAATCCCTTTTATGCAGTCCTTTTTTATTTCAAGACTTTTTTCTGTCTTTTAGTCAGGCATTTGCTCTTTACAGTTACCCATTTTGACCAGGGTGTTTTGTTTCCCTTTTTATACAGGTATGATAGTAAAAACAAAAGATTTGCAATATTTGTTATCCAGCTGAGTAAGGTGACAGCTCTGTCGTTACCACAAGGCTGTGCAGTGTAAGTGTTTCATTTAAAAAGAAAAGTTTTATCAGTGCAAGTGCTCTCGGATGCTACCCTGCGTCAAGGGCGCTATATAAATGCAAATTGTTGTTATAGTTGCTCGATATGGTCCACGCCTACCATTGTTCATGTTGTTATAAATTAAATATAAATGTTCAGAAACGTGTCAAAAGAACATTCTAAACGTAAATAAGTTCTACTTGTTTTGCATACATCTGATGATTTTTTTTATACATGTAGATATATTCGAGTGGCTGTACTCCCATGTTCTGAAAACACAAGCTGTCTCTTCCGCACCAAAGCTTTGGCAGCTGCTGAAAACTTGGCATACAATGAAGTCTTTTGGGTGACCATTTCCTTTGCTGCTTTACGTCAGAAAACTCTGCGTGTTGATGTTTGTTCGGTGGTTAAATCTCACCGGGAAGAATGTTTGGTTAGTTACTGCATTTTTGTTTCAGTTTAACGTAATCAAGATCACATTCATATGCACAATATTAAAATAAACATTGTGAGACAATAACAATTTAAATGGCTATCTATGATGAAACTTGCTGTCTAACAAGCAAAATTTGTATCATCCAATATTCATAAGTAACTTTCATTTATAACAGGGTGAAGCTCAGATCAGCTTAGCAAATGTGAGTGGATCTGGGGAGCGGTCAACACACTGGTACAATCTCCTCAACCTTCGTTATCTGCAGGAACAAAACTTGAAACATGGTGTTCAGAGCCAAGATGATACCCTTACATCAGAAACTAACCTCTCCAAATCAGAGGACAAAGTATGTCATGCAACTTCTCTTTGGGCCACCATGATAATTTCAGTGTTACAAGATTTCTCCTCGGAACCACTTCTGACCCCGTGGAGACTTTGATTAACTCAGAGTTAAATATTGAGATGATATTTCACAACTATTAAACAAAATTTAAAACGTGGGGGGGTTGTGAGTGGACATGTCATTTGGTATTTATAACTCTTCTGTTTGTGGATTTTTCAGGACTCTGTGTCTGCACTATTGGAACTGACAGCTGTGGAGCTCAAGGCAATTGAGCGGAGAATAGAGAAAAAGAGTAATGTGTTGAGTACTGGAGCACAATGGTACGTTATTAACAAATACTGACATGTTGGCATTAATTGCCATGTGCCTTTCTTTGGTTTTGTCTCAATTGTAAGCAGAATTTCTGCAGGTTGGGCAAAATCAATTCTGGGTTCCATTTTTCTCATGTGAACTTACACGGAAGCAAATCATTTAAACCCAGTTTGACAATGATAAATAAAATAAGTGGACCTCATCTGAATATGTTTAGGAACCCACTGTTATAGAGAATAACATGGACATGAGGGGAAAGCATTTTAAGAAATCTTAAATAGCTGCACCGCTGCGGTACTTTGCTTTGTGAGAAACAATAATAATCCTTGCATTTGATATGATTTGGTTGAACATGATTTTGTCCAAAGTTGCTTCTGATTTTTCCAAGGACCTCTTCTGAAGATGCTAAGCCGAATCTAGGTACATATCACTAGGTTGTGAGTGAACAGCATATATGTCTTGTTACTGATTTAGGAGCAGCGACGATCAGAAAGATTGTTCGTCCCCTTATAAATTAGATCAAAACAAGGAGGATCAGAGTTGGCAGGAAAGATAACTTTGTAAAAAATTAGGCAAATATAGTTTGCACTTTATATAGTGAATTTGTATTACTTACAGGCAAGAGGAGCCAGTGGAGCAAGGAGACTGTAGTGAGAAAGAACTGGAGGAGGATGAAGAGGAGGAGGAACAAGACGAAGAATACAATGAAGAGATACCCTGGGAAAGCGAGGAGAATGCTGAGAATGCCAATGAGCACACTGACAATCAGTCAGCACTTACAGCAGCAGAAGCTGCAGTGAAGGTGCCTACTTATTGGAAATCTAATCTGCCTGGCACGTTCTCCATTCAACTGCTGCAACTTCTGGTGGTTTTTTAAAGAGCAATTATCGAGGGTTTCTTTCTATTGGGGAAGAGAACCTCATTGGGGGGAAAGGAGAAAATATAACTTTGAAGACGCAAATTAAAATATCTGTGGGCAGTGTTGCAGCTTGCAACATGGCCTCTCAATTCTTTGCAAACTGCTTTGCAAGAAGCTGTTTCCATTATGGGATTGAAGAGGTGTTGTACAAAAGATGAACTTGAAATCTAACGGTTTGAATTGGTTGCCGAATATTCCTGATTGATCCAGACTCTCTTTTTGGGGGGAGGTGGGGAGGGAAGAAGTAATTCACCCACAAAACAGAATAGTTGTATCCCTCCCGACCCCCCCCACACCGAATGTGGTGAAGGAGGCGTTGTGATAATAATCCTTGCGTTTGATATAGGTCCTTACCACGTCTTCGAGACGTCTCAAAGCGCTTCACAGAATATATTGTAAAGTAAATTGACTATATTTTGTGGGTGAAACACGGCAGCCAATTGTGCACGGCAGTGTCCAACAAACAGTCGTGGATTGAGTGACCAATTTTTTTTTTTTTTTTTTGAAGGAATTGTTACTCCCGGAAAAGCAGATGTGAGAATTGTCCCATTTCTGTGTGACTGGGGCAGGTAGAGCAGGCATGGGGCTGAGTTCTGGTGGACTACTAGTCCTCTTGCAGTCTCTAGTTAAAAATGATTCTTACATTTTGATGTTGTGCCTTGCATGTTGGGATCACTACTCAAAACGCTTCACATGATGTACTGTATTGGAGTGACTGTATTTTGTGGGAGTATTACAATGCACTATGCGAGTCTCAAGTCCCACGCTAGGGTTAGAAACCACAATCATTTGACTCGGAAGCGAGAGCCGTGCCAACTGAGCCAGGCTAGAAAGGAAGTCTTGGGATTTGTGAACCTTCTGTGGAGCACAGCATGTTGAATGCATCGTTTTCCCTTGACTGCTGCATCCTACTGCATGCAGATGTGAAGCAGTGTATCTTTCTTATCTTCCCCTATTTGTGTATGTTGCTGGAGAAACCCAGATTGTGCTCCAAACCTCTCTAAAATTTACCAGTTATTCAAAACCTTGCAAATGATGATAGAGCAGTTTCTGTTAGTCTTAGTGTAAATCACTGATGTTTCGCAAGTTAGTGACTGAACACTATCACCACAGGTTGATAAAGAGACCAACACAGAAGAGAATATATCAACAATGTCTGCAGTGCGCCCAAAGGATAGAAGATCCCATACACCTCAGCAGAGCCCGTTTGTGAGAGGAAGTCCTATTATCCGTTCAAAAACCTTCTCCCCAGGTGCACAGAACACTTACATATGTCGGGTAAGAATTTATTCTTCTGACTATAGTATCAGTCTTCATCATTTAATTGTTTTACATTTCTTCTAAGACCTGTTTTTATTATTCATCATTTTCCTTGCAATTTATTCTCCTTTTTACTTCAAATTTGCGGTTTGCTTTCTGCCTTTTGGGTATTTCTTCACTCAGTTAGAGACACAGTAAATTGTAATACTATTAAATCTTTAGAAACTCTTCTGAGAATCAAGATTGTGCTTTTATAGGAATTCTGCATTTATTCGGCTTAATTGGAACATCCCACAGGCCATTTACTGTTTCATCATCAATCCAATCTAAACAGAAAGCACTTTCTAGCATTTAGTTTCCACAACAGTTTTAAAATATGCTCTGTCAATAAAAATTGGCAATATATTAACTGTATTTAATATGCCAAACTTACAAAAAATATTAAGTAATATCCTGTGTTTGACAATTGTTAGTTTATGTGTTACCTGAAGCTGATTATACTGTGACAAACATGTTCCAGAATAAAATGGCAAGTAGGAGGTGAGCAGTTTTGTTCACACACGAATAACCATTCTGTTTTCCCCCCAGTTAAATCGAAGTGATAGCGATAGCTCAGCATTATCTAAGCGGTCTCCCTTTGATCGTAATGCCATGGAACGACGCAGTTTGCGAAAGAAACTGGTAAGGAATTTATGGAAGCAAACTCTAGCAAAAAGAAAACTTACAAGTTTTAGAAAAGTGTTGGGTATTTCTTATTATTGTTTTGAGTTGACCTTTTAATTAATTAAATGTATTTGAAATATTGAATAGAATTGTTAGGGAGACTTTTTTAAGTTTTAATAGGAAACATTCTAGTTTTAAATAGGGAAGAAAAATGTTGCATTTTTAAACTTTCACTCAAAGGAATAAATTCTGCAAAGTAAATAACATTAATTATTGACTCTTGCAGCCTTCATTCAGGAGGGTGGGATCAGAAAGGATGATGCGAACCTCTTTGGATTTAGAGTTGGATCTGCAAGCTTCAAGAACTAGGCAGAGCAGGCTGACTCAGGAGCTGGATGTCCTGAGGGAACTGAAACAGCACCTTGATGAGGCCAAAGCCAAAGGAGAGACAGAACTGCCTCAGGGCGTTAAAGATGAGAAATTTCATACTCTGCTGAAACAAGTTGAAAAACAGGTAAAGAACTTTCTACTTTCTTGTTTTCTTGTTGCTCTGGATCAGGACGCTCTCTACCATTGATGGGGAAAGTAGGGGTTAGTTGACATCCCATCACAAACATAAGAGACCATTTTGCATTGATGCCTTCAATTGGATCCAACTCCTCAGATATGTTTATCAATTTGAGCCCAGTTCAGTTGTTTGGTTTAGTTCACTGGTTTTAACAAAAAAGAGCTGCTTAATAGAGACCTGCCACATAGCTTAGATTTGAAGTATAAATCAGATCCGTGATAAAATTTTAAGGTTTAAACTGTGGTGATCAAATAGTTTTTAAAAAGTATCATTTTCTTCTCCCATCAGGCAGAGCAAACAAAAGAACAGCAAAAACAGGAGAGCAGAGCTAAAAAACTTATGAAGAAGACATCTAAAGAAGTACATATGTTACGAGGACAGAGTCAGATTGAACCCTTGGAGATGCAATCATTTAGGTGAGTCTTATATATCGTATGAGAATTGTTGCTGTTCTAAACATGTGTGCATTTTTGTAATGGTATCTTGTTGTCCAATTTTCCAGAATGTTTTCTTGTTCCCTGAGGCCATACTCAGATGTGGCTGAGACCTTTTCCTGTGCTGGTCTATGATAGCCACTGGGAAAAAAACAAGGTCACTCTAATTACCACTGTTGCCTTGTTAAATCTTTCCTGCATTTCTTTCCCCCAACCTCAGTGTCCAACGTCTGCTTTGTACCAGTTCACACTGATTACCCTGTATGAGCCCCATGTACTAGGTGTTTTGGAGCAACACTGTACTTTTGTGCATTTTTGTGAGCAACGGATCCATCATTACAGCTATTTGTAGTTCTAGTCTGTTAAATCACATTTGCAACCTCCGAATGCTTCCTAAACATTCCACTGGACCAGATCAGTCAAGCAAATATTGCTGTTTTCTTAGTTTATTGTAAGCTAACTTCTCATGATTTGTGCCTTTTGTTATAGGGAGAAGATGGCGTTTTTCACTCGAGGAAGGGGGTGTATCCCTCCACTACCTGCAGATGATGTATGATAATTCAATACATTTGAATTGCCCTCGGTTTATTGTTGATTTTTTTTAACATGGTGTAATTGAAGTTATTTGTGGTGTTGTGAAGGTACAGATATAACATTTGTAAATTGTAGAAATTGCTTGAAGCCACTGCATTATTTGAATGTAATGAAAGCTATGCTTTTCTCATTGTGTATTGAACTATTGCAGAGAAAACATAGCGTAGATTAATGTTGTTATACTAATATGTACAGTTTATATTTCTGGCTTTTTTTTGTAAAAAAATTGCAACAAGAACAAATTTGGTTTTAACATGCTTGATTCGAAAAGCAGTGTTCCTCATCTTATTGTACAGAAATAGATTTATGAATGTTTAACTGCAATAGAGAGATTAAGGCACCAGTTACAAACTGACTAAGTAACATTCAGTATTGTTTGTGATGTCACTGTTTCTAAGTATCTAAACAGAAGCTCTATATTCTTCTATTAAAATAGCCTGTTGTCTAATATTTGAAAGGAAAAAAACTTAGTTTTCTTCAATATATATTTATAAAACTGGAAAATTTGCTTCTACAAATCTAGTATAGTTTTAAATCAATGTACTATATTTGTGTGCAGGTTAAACGATCTTTATTTAAAAATGAAAAAATCTAGTTCTGACACTGACTATATCAGTTTATGGACCAGGTAATTGATAGATAGGAAAGCAGAATGTTATCTTTGTATGAGTATAGCCTCTATAACTATACCTTGTTCATTCCGCTTTCTTGCTGCTGACGCTGGGAAAAGTTGGAGGAAACTGTATTTTTAATGTAAATGGATATATCAGTTCTGGCCTGAACTGATGATATCAAGTACCTCTCCAATGCATAATGAATTGATAATTCATAAGTATATTAAATTAAAATGACCTTAAGTGCTGGAATTGTTACATTTCATAAAATGGATACAATCTATAAAATATGTGCATAGGATTCTAGATAAAGTCACTTGATAACAGCAAAAAGTATTACTGGCCTTTCATGTTGCATGTACTAATATACTTCAGACCTTTCACTTTAGCTTCAATTGCTTTTTGGCCCTGTTCATTCTATTGTGTCACATTACCATTTCTATTTCTGAAGAATTATGATTGTGAATTTTGTGACACAGTATCGACCCTTTAAGTATAGAAATACAATTTTCATCTAACAATGAAGTGAGATACAGAGGATATAACAATGAAATGGATCAAATTATATTCACAAGGATGGTGATTTTGATCCCAATTGTTGCTGGATAACAAAAAAAAAGATCTGAAGCAGTATTGACACAAGCTGTAATTACACAGTTCCATCATAGTTAGGATTAATAACTGTAAGAAACTATCTTCAAGATTTTGTTTATTATATCTGTATAAATTCTTACAGATGTTGCTCATTAACAATCAAGATAAGCAATAGTTTTGTGCAGAATGAACTACACCAACATTAAATATTTCAGCAATGCTAATGGCATTCACAGCTGCTGAAATTACATATGCAAGTTACATATTAAAGATTTGGAATTCAAAGGGGTATCAGCAGCTGGTACTCATTTCACAATTAATTTCAACAAAGGAAAATTTCAATCACCGCTTTAAAAATAATTAATTTCAATATTGCATTCAAAAAATTTACAACATCTTTCAGTGTCTGATCTAAATAAACAGTGGAAGTCTGAGAAGACATGAAAAGGTGTCCATAATTAATATTTTCTTCAATTCATAAACTGGAATTTGATAGTAGGCAGAATACCATTCCAGGAAAATGTTTTGTTGCTTGTTCAGGTATTCATTCATCCATCAAAACAGACCAGGAGGGTCCCAGGCTTAATCCCTAGTTTGTTCTGAATTAAGAAAATTTAACTCGGGTACCAGAAATCCATTGGGTCTCTCCATCCCAAGAATAGATATCTTATTACTGTTGATATTTAATTTTATATGAGCACATTGGTTGGAAAATGTCAAAGGGTATATATTAACTTTTTATGTGTTTGGTTATTTCAAAACTGGGAATAATTCTTTTCAATAGATTTGGCATTGGGTTTTATCATATGTCTAGTCATGATGTAGGGACCAAATAGAAGCTGGAACACATTCATCCGGACTAAAATCATGTGCTGATGTAAATTATTTGCTATGACAGCCTCTGTAATGGAGAAACAACATGCCATACCTTATTTACGTCACACTTCCCTCTCTTCAACACAGATTGACCTTACTTTAAAACTGTTGTAACAATCATTATTTATGGTTTTGTGACACAATTATCTTTACTGTAAAAGTTCTTGATTTACAGCTGATATAAAATGGGTAATTTGTTGCTCTCTCACTATATCAGGAGAAGATAGCTGATGAGCTGATAGTTATTAATCTTTAGCTGAGACGGGAAAAAAATACGATGTTCAGTCGATCATTGGCTCTACTTAAAATTCTTCTATGTGATATTAATTCAAGAACCCTTTAATCCAAGTATGGGAGTTCAATTTTCTACCTTAGATTCTGAGCAAACTATAAACTTACACACACGACGTATTGCAAAGAATGTAATTGAGGCTTACTTGTTTACTGTAGCTGAAAATATATAAAAACAAATTAAGTAGTCACAAATGAAGATTAAGCACTTTATGATTAATGGCATATAATTCCACTGAACAAAATGGACTAGCAATAAATTTAACCAACATTTTACTGTTATGCAACGATAACACCACTTGCATTTATATCACACTTTTGTGGGATAGCTTCTCGATGCGCTAATAGAAATGCTGTTCCACTTGATTTTATGGTGTGTGAATTAAGTCACTGGAACTTGTCAAATCAATATCAAGAGTTTGCCATATGAATTCCATGACATTGTTTTCAATAGAAATGTTACTTCAGAAGTAGGTGAAACCAAAAGGTCTGCTGTTTTAAGTGGACATGTAAATCTATTCATTACCCATTAACTAAGTCAGGGAAAAGCAAAAATTGACTCTTGTGATGTGCTTTTGCTTCTGTTTGGGGGGAAATTCCACCTGCTTGTAGATTTTACTAACATTTTTGAGCTTAGAATTTGTTCTGACATGCAGTCTGTAAGCAATATTAAATACAGTTCTTTTAAGAATTACAAAAATGTCAACGTTGAGCCCGAATTCAACAATTTGCCAAATTCTGGGGGCTCTAAAATGCTATGTAGAAAAATCCAGACGCAAGTGGAATTTCTCCCCAATTTTGCCCTGGAGAGGAACTTGCTGATTTCACACGGCAGCTATCCCAGAATCACTGCAACAATAGTGGTTCCCAGTACCAGCAGTTATACATTTCTCATGTCTGTCACTAGAATGTAAAAGATAGCTCTCTGATGATTATTGAAGATTAAATGTTTGTTTTAAATTATGGTAGAATGAAGTAATGAAGAAGACTGTAAATATTTTTTAGGAAGTGTAAATTGCACTAGTTTACTCTTTAACAATCCTCTACCTTGTGTTCCCAACTCCATGTTAAGATTTTGTGGTGGAATTGACTTTATAGCATTGTTCTCATTAGGAGGGAGCTCTGTTCATCCTTCACCTTGCAGTGCATTTACAATGAGTGACCTTTAGAATGGCATTTATGTGGACTGACATGTGGTTTACAGTGCTGTGCTAAAAGTGACTTTGTGAAGAATTATTCTTTAAACAAAGCAATCCAATTTTTACCAAACCAAGCAAAGTACAGTGTATTTTCAGATGTATAGCTTTGCACTTTTTTCTGCGGCAGCTTAGTAATTGACTCTAGATTGTGCAGAGGAAAAGTAATGAGTATTTCCCCTATGTATATCTGCTACCTCTTGTAGAGTTTTAGAGTCCTATTTCAGAACCTGGATTTAAATTGGAACTGTATTTGAATTAATTTAACACATTCTTTTTCATGCTTACATCCTCCACCTACATCTGTCTGAAGCTAGGTTTTCATTTTTTCTTCTGTCTGAATTAGTTTGATAAATTGTTCACCAGGCTGCTAAATTAAGGAAATCTTAGTAGCAATGTTCCATCCATGTAGAGGAAAAGAGTTTGTTTTTTATAATTCTGACATTGTGTTTACACTTCGCGAAACATCTCCTTCATCCCAGCAATCCCCCCCCCCCCCCCACCGCCACCCCCCGACCCCCCCCCCCAGCCACCTCCCCCAGCAATCCCTCCCTCCCCCCCCCCCCCCTCCCCCCCCGCCCCTCCCCAGCAATCCCCCCCCCCCCCCCCCACCCCCTCCCCAGCAATCCCTCCCCCCCCCCCCCTCCCCCCCCACCCCCCCCCCCCCCCCCAGCCACCCCTCCCCCAGCAACCCCCCCCCATCCCCCCCCCCCCACAGCCACCCCTCCCGCCCTCCCCCCCCCCCCCCCCACGGCCACCCCCCTCCCCCCCAGACCCCCCCCCGGTGCTGTGTTTGCGGGTGTGTACCTGCTCCTTCAGACGAGCCGTGTACTCGGCCACGAGCTCCGCCATGTTTCTCCCTCTGTCAAAGCCGCTTCCTCACATCTCCCGCCCTCCCGCCACAGCGCCCCCTCCCGCCCTCCCGCCCAGCGCCCCCTGCCCTCCCGCCCAGCGCCCCCTCCTGCCGCAGCGCCCCCTCCCGCCCTCCCGCCGCAGCGCCCCCTCCCGCCCTCCCGCCGCAGCGCCCCTCCCGCCCTCCCGCCGCAGCGCCCCCTCCTGCCGCAGCGCCCCCTCCCGCCCTCCCGCCGCAGCGCCCTCCTGCCGCAGCGCCCCCTCCCGCCCGGAGGCCGCTCACCCTTGAGTTGGATGGAGCCCACGTGGGCCGATCGGGCGGGTTCTCGCCCAATTGGGCGTTTTGTTTGTCGCACTCGGGCGACCAATGCAAAAAGACGCCTTAATTTTTTTAACATTTTTTTACCATTTAAAATCTGCAAACGTTTTTTTTTCCTTCTGTCCTTTGAAAACCTTTCCTTCGTCGCAAAAGCGCTAAACCTGACTCAGCCACTGTGCTCCGGCGGCCGAGAGCAATCCCTCCGAAAACACATAGCAATAATAAAAATTGGTCATTTTTCAATCTGTGAAGCGCTTTGGGTCGAGAAATAACAATAATAATAATAATAATCCTTGCATTTGATATAGCGCTTTTCACGTCGGGAGGACGTCCCAAAGCGCTTCACAGAACACACTGTAAAGTGAATTGACTGTATATTTGTGGGCGAACGCGGCAGCCAATTGCACACAGCAATGTCCCACAAACAGTCGTAGATTGAAAATGACCAATTTATTATTGTTTTTGTTTTGGAGGGATTATTATTAGGCTCTGTGTGGAGTAAGGAAACTTGCCCAAGGTTTCGCCCTCTGCCTGGAATTGAACTCAGGTCTCTCACTTGCAAAGCGAGTGCTCTAACCACTGAGCCACAGGACTCCACAAGGGTCAAGACATAAGACATCATCCGAATGCACCATTTATATGGAAGGCAAATGACATGTAACAAACCTAAAGTTCTGGTCATTTAAAAACTTATTGGTCACTTATTGTGCTAATTGGTGTCAATACTGTTTATATGATTGATGAGAATGACCAGTGGATAGTTACAAACAAAGAATTTCCTTCATTGTTTTTGGACTAGAATTATCCACAAGAGGGAAACGTGAAACACCAACGTTGCAGGTTTGAATTACAACCCCAGTTATTGTATTTTCTTAAATCTGAGTGAGACTGCGTGAGCAATTTGTCGTTAACGTCCGTGCGTTTCACCGTCAGCGTAAGAAAATAACAGCCGCCTTATGTTTATCATTGGTCCAATCTAACCAGAGCAAATTTGATTTAGGTTTAGTTTTGACAACATCAAAAATCTTGCAATGAACCAGCGACTGTCATCTGACACCGTAATGCTTTTCGGCCCAGCGCAGCAAAGGAGTGAAAAACAAAATTCAACGGCAAATGGGAGTGCACAGAGGTTTAGTAACTTCACCAGAACAGCTTTACACAGCTGATATTGTGACACTATTATTTTTAAAATCCCTTTACCAAGGCCATTATTGTTTGTGAAATAGCCTCACATGTCTCAACGCTTGAAAGAAAATACAATTCTCTCAATTTGTTTTTTTTTAAAAAAATAAAGATTCTCCCATAACACGACACTGTCAAAAAAAAATGCAGGGGGTCATGATAAGTGCAGATAAAGAACAAATTCAGAGAAAAGGCAAAACATTTTTAATTTAACCTTCCGGTTATTACACTGACACATCCTTTGATAATTAATCTTCCAAGCACAGATCTAATATGAAGTGTGGTAAATACACAATATTTCATTATGCTGCTACCATATACTATCAGTGGAAAAGAAACACATTGCACTATTACAGAACTTCCAATAAGAATGCCACATGTACTAGCACCAATTAATATATTGCTTTTTTTCCTTCTGATAAAGTTGTCCTGTATTAAAGCCAATAATCTGTGCGCAGAACATGTGCTTCCTTTAGTGTTACCGTGTACACCAGTAGCGGCCATCCATGGCCAAGGGCCATCAAGAAGTGGCCTCTGTTAGTCACCACTATCTTCTACCTTTACGCTCTGTAAAATGTGTTTTGTGTATGTGTTTTGAGAGTATCGACCAGGGTGTGTGTGAGCGGTTTGATGCCTGTGTTTGGGAAATTCCATAAAAAAGAATTCCGGTGTTTCGGAGAGATTCACACGTGCACAGTGGTAATATAGTACCCTCTACGAGGGTGGGTGAAATTCCCATCGTGGGTGACGAAAGTCACATCTGCAAAACATTTGCACTAGTCTAGGTGAGTCTGTTTTAAATTAATGCTTTGTTTCCGGTAGCTACTGAGTGGCAATGTTTATGCCGTGGCCATAAATCAAGAACATTTATTTTCTTGCCTGACCAAAAAAGTTGGCCTTCCACTGAAGATTAAGCAAATAAATGGTAGGAATGGATGTAACATACAAAGACTTGTTTCAAAGAACAAGCAATTAGATGTGCTCTTTCTTCACTAATATTTCATGAAAATTGATCACTGAATAGCTTCTATGTGAGAGGAAGACTACAGCTCTGCTTATATACAACTTGTCATGAAATACTTTCTAGCTTGTACGATTGGAACAGCTTAATAGTTTGCAACCTGAAATGTAAAATATTTGGATTAAATGGACATGAAATTGCAGTAATTATCCGCAACAGCAAACCTAAACAGTTATTATCAAGTCCTTGCAAAAGTAGTTGAGAAAATAGCACCACGCTAAATATATACTTGTCTGAATATTATTTCATTTTCCTTAGGCTCAACAGTGTTTGCAGCGACAGGGTCACAAAAAAATATGTATTACTGCCATGAAGGGAATGCTGTAGAATAATCTTGTGCTTGCTAGCATTTGCACTTGCAATTCATCCACCCAAATGTTCCTATCTATCCTGGCTGCTTGATTTCATACACAAAACACATCAATGAAGGTTGGGAGAGGAGGTTGAGGCAATCTATAATTGTTCAGTGTAGACTGAACATTTGACTCAGCACCAGTAAAAACTTAACTCTCTCTTTCACACTCACTCACACACACACACACACACACACACAAAAGAAAAGCTGAGTCCACTCATTTGGGGGAACATGATTAACTGGTCACAAATTTGTAGACACAGGTGCCTGCAAGCAAACGTGTCCTAATTCTATGTGAAGTTGCATTAAGATGAAATGTGTATTTCTGCCCTTTTTTTAGTAAACTGTTCAAGATCCCAAATTAGCAAAACACCTTTACAGCCTTCGTACGGGGCATGAGATTTTTTTTGATGGGGCAGAAAGGAAAAAAAAAAAATGCAAAAGCAGGAAAAACCTAGGTGCTTTGTGAGTTTTAAGCCAAATTCGAAGTTAATGTGAAGAAACCAAAATGTTCCAAATTTTCTTTCACCCAGAAATGCAAACTGCAGAAATTCAACTTGTCCCACAAGGTACTTACAAAATCGGCAGGTATGAGATTTTCCAAGGCTTCAGAGCCACATGTAACTCAATATACTGTAGTTTTTTCAGCCTTGCATGGGTTTTGCCACACCAAAAATAATAAGACGTTTGGAGTTGTGCTCATGTGCTGTTTACTACAGTAAAACCATTCTATGGGGCAGCTCCTGCTTTGCTAAAAGACACAAGAACTACCACCGTTTAAGCTTGATATCAAATAAAACAGATGTGACGACAATAACATACAGTTTAAGGAATCTTTTCAGTACCATCAATCATAAAAGGAAGCTCAGTCCCTCCTTTCCTGATGTGCATCTGCAACAGTTCACCTCACCAAATGCGTACTGGAGCTGATGGATAATACTTTGTTTTTTTTTAGATCATAAATGAAGCACCTTTAGCAAAATAATTATTTGTAAGAAATCTGCTATTCAACAGGTTTTCAGCAAGTTTCCATACAACTCTCATGGACCATCGGACAATATGGAATGAAGTGCTTTGCTGAACTGTGTTCAGGTAATACTAAGTGTTTACGGAAATTGCTGAAAGTTTTCATGACACCTGGTCTATCCGTTCCAAGTATTCGATTCTTCTCCATAAATGTAACAACCAATTGCAAGGTTATTAAACAGGTTCAAAATTACTGTAATGCACACCATTATTAACTTAATTAAAAACAACTCATCAAATCATTCACTCTATGGATATCTTTTTAATTAACTAGTTTGTGCAACAATAGAGATTCTTTACATTTCAGTGTATAGGTTTGCATCCTATGTATGAGACAGATCAGTTTAACATATATTCATGAATGTACTGATTAGTTTAATTGTCAAAAGATATAAGTTATTTAAAGAGTCCTAAACTGTACACTCCCTATAAATATAAAAATGGTTTGAAATGTATATTCACTTTTGTTTTAAAAA